CTGGAGTTTCGTTACATACGAAGGTGATAACACTCATTACATCTGACCATATATATCACATGTGACACCACTCCACGACACGAGTCGTGCCATGATACATCCCGCCATGACATAGAGATGACATGTGACCTGATCATAATCATGGCATGATATGACATGTCATGTGCCTCGTAACATCTCTGATACAAAACAAGGCTCATACGGGGACTCGACAACTCATGTCAAAACATATTATGACATGACGTAACATGACAACTAGATACGACACACAACTCATGACCAACCATAGTACATGACTTTTCAATAATGGTAGTATATTTCACAACACTCTATGCTTTGTAGTGTGCTCTCGCTTTAGTATCACGTGGTATACATTTCACTTTGATGAAGAAGCATCAATGTATCTTTTCGGCCGTACGTTACCACAGCCCATACAACTAACTGGTCTTTCACTAGATAAATTTCGCAGCAATCTCACAGCGACGGGGAGTACCCTAAACAATAGCGCGCACAGGGTGGTGAGTGGGTCGGCGATGCGTTAAACCAGAAATGCTGCTCTGTAGAGAATAGTCAGTATAATACACGACACACAACATATGGTTCATGATGTGACTAATGACCTTACCCGAACGTCATGTGTCACAGGACACAAGACGCTACATGACATGGAGCATGGCATGGAACATGACACGATATTCAAATTAATTGATAACCTGATGCTATAAATTACACTGCGTTACATGGCATAATGCCTCAGAGTCCTAAATTAAGTATCATTTAACTTTACTTGATTCACGTATTTAGTAATTGAACAAGGCTACCAGAATTTTGCAACACCAGTATTACATCACAACAATTGAATTTCGTTGTTTTGGTGACTTAGGAAGATGGTTAAACTATTTTTCTTCTTTAAAGAGTATTGAGAGGCACCAGCGTGAGCAGGGAGTATAGAAAATGTTAGGTTTGCTTGCGCAAATAGAAAGAAACGACCGCAAGTAAAATGTAAAATTCCGTACTCAGCACAACAACGTAAGGAAACATGTTTTTGCAAAACGAACAATTAGGGCCCAGAACGTTTTATCTGCAACAGGTCTAAAGACCTTCCCTGAGAGTGTGAAGTGGTTTAAAAATCGGTTGTAAAAATTAATAACAAGGTAGAATAATAAGCGGTATATACTTTTTACATCCGCTTTTTTGTAAGTGCAATAAAGTGAGGTGCGGTGTGTTTTGCGAATTAAGCATTTAAAATTAAAGAAAATGAAACATGTAGAAGTTTTCAATGAAATTGTCGAAGATAAAACATTTTTAATTTAAATTTAACATGAAATGTTATGGTTTCAACCATTTATTTTCTAGTGTAACAAGTGTATGACACGACGCGTAAAATGTAAGTTTGATATGTGAAGCGCAGGGCAGTCAGGCAGTTAATTTCAAGCCACATTACGTTGTTCCTGGAAGGACACCAGAAATTGCTCGTGACATGGCATGCAACGTCATGTCACCCATTCGTGACGTGTCACGTGATATGGTATTTTACATCACTCTTGACATGACACTTAACACGATGATCCGGGCATATGTAACCACAAAGTGTACTTCATATGAAGTGTGTGTTTATGATTTCACGCCTGCTGTAACTCAATGGCAAATTGAATTTTTTCTGCTTTTATAAAAACAGCTCTTCGCACCCGAAAACCCGAATAACAGACCCCAGCGTGCTGTGAAGAAGGATTCGGCATAACGGTAATATGGAAATTTGTACACGTAAACTTGCGCGGCTCGAGTTCATGACTTCTGGGCTGTCCGGGTGACACCGCGTCGTTGGCAGACAGGCCGACGTTTCGCCTGTCATGTTGCAGGCTTCATCTGGGCAGTGACGAGTCATATGGTAATGGTTAAGATGAGATTAATTTCTATGTTTTGGATGGGTAATTGAAATATTTCATTTGATGCTAATCTTGCAAAGTAAATAAATAATACTAATATTCCTCCCAAGGAGATTATGAAAAGGATGTAAGAGATTCTTAATGAATAAGAAATTGATACTGTAATTAGACGAATTATCAGTGTTTGTGTAATAATCAATAAAATTTTGATTTCATATAACAAAAAAATCAATTGTTAATAATATGAAAATAAATATGAGAATATAAATGTCCGAGATTAGTTTATGTAAAATATTAATTTTGGGGATTAGTTATAGATAGAAAATCTTTCTCTGAAGTTTTATTAAGATGTTCTTAAAGTGACAAATCACTGCCCTGAGGAAGCCTGCGACATGACAGGTGAAACGTTGGGCTCTCAACCACCGACGCGGCGTCACCCGGTCAGCCAAGAAGTCAACACGGAAATTTGACCTTCGTGTAAATATTTGGCAGTAAGTGCATTGTAAGTCACATGCGCTCGAAGCACGATACGTATGTAGTGACGTGTGACGTGGCACGTGAAACGTGACATTCTGCGTTGTACGTGAAATGCCACGTTACGTGACAAGGAGTAACACGTGGCGTAACCACTGACAGTACGTAATTTGTCATGTGACATAACGCGTGGTGTCATGTGACATGACATTTCCCAGTATACACAGAATTACATTATAATATGAGACTACATTGCAGGGCACTTCATAAAAACATCGGTATTTCCAGGTAAAACCTACTTTTATGATACAGAGCCCAAACTACGACATAGCAGAATTAAATATGACTACTTTGCGATCATCTCTGTACCTATTTTTTTTTGATAGCCCTGCTAGTTGATTTGTATGTTGTCTGAGTAGTACACTGCCACCACCTCAACGTTAAACACGCACTACATTTACTGGAATAATGATCTTACGATGATGCTCCCGGAAACACTACTGAAGCAAACCAACCAATCTACCTCTTCTTCCGTCGTTTTGCTCCGCAAACCTTCTCTTACTCGCCAATTTCGCCCATCACACGGCCACAGCGCCCCGAACAACCTACAGCTTCGGCGGCCATAACGGACATGACAAATGCCTTGCGCTACATAACTACACCAGACATTTCATTTAAAACCTACGTTAACGATTTCGAGACTAAATTATCCCATATCAAAACATGAATATGGTTACTTTAAAAATCACCTCTTTACTCCTTTATTTTCGAAAATCTCGCAAGACATGTAGGTGGTCGCTGGATCTTGGCACCTAGCGGGGGAAGTTCATCGTCTCCTCCTGATAGCATGCACTACACTTACGAAAAAATCGTTGAAGTTGGCGCGTCAAAAAACCTAACCAAACCAACCAATCTACATTGCGCTATATAACTACACCATACTACATTTGATGTATAACCTACTTTTACGATTTAGAGACTATATTATCCCATAGCAAAAATTGAATATGATTACTTTAAAATAATCTCTACCCCTTTTTTCGAAAACCCAGCAAGACGACATATAACTCGCCGCCGGATCTCACCATCCAGCGGGGAAAGTATAGTACCTTTTCCAGTCGTAAGAAATACAATACACTTACGGAAGTAAAAACCGTACCAATTTAAAAAAAAATGTGAAAATTTGGTACAAAGAGATGACGTACACTATCAATCTGAAAATATTTAGTATTTGCAAATAGATTTTAACGCCTACGTGTGCTGACAACATAATTTCTTCTATTTCACGAACAAAATTCCACCTTTATCTCTTTGCCAATAATTATTTTGATGGCTTAACGTGCAAATAATGTTCATGTCTGTGTCGCTTTCATCCTCAATTTCACAATGGTGACCGAAACATCGGTAATTATGACTAGGATACGAAGTTTGCAGCCAGCCACGTTTCTAGACACGAAACGTAAAGTTTTATCTCAAACACAAGTGTTCATCTTAGCTGTTCAGGAGCCCGGGAAAACTGTTCAGCCAATCTACCTCTTGTTCCACCGTTCTACCCCGCGGCCCCTTCTCTCACTCGCCAAATTCGCCTATCACACGGCCACAGCGTTCCGAACAACGCCGAGTTAGCAAGAGCTTCGGCGACGCGTAAAAACGGACATGACAATTCCGGCCGAGGGCGTGGGCGTGGGCGTGGGCGGGGTCCCTTTGATGCTCTCATCAGCGCGCGCCGCAGCCACGCCCCCCGCCCCCGCCCACGCAAATCACCTGCGCCCGCTAATCAGGCTGATTTGGATTGTTTCCAGCACGGCACGCACTCGCTGCGAACGCCCGCGGGCACGGTGGCGTTAGGCGGGCAAGGGGACCGTCCACATTAGCAGCGATGGCACACGGGTAACATCGGTGTCTGTGTGGTTCTGGCCGGGTAGGTCCTAAACCAGATACCAGCGGATTTTTTATAGTTGGTTGCGAAACCGTTGTCTGCGTTGGCACGGCGATAACATCGTTGACTGTGTGTGTCCCAAGTGGTTCTGGCCGGGTGGGTCCTATGGTTTCAGACCAGATAGTAGCGGATTTTTGATAGTTGGTTGCGATAACCATTGGCTGCGATGGCACGGCGATAACATCGTTGTCTGTGCGTGTCTCAAGTGGTTCTGGCCGGGTAGGTCCTAGGGTCTGAGACCAGATGGTAGCGGAGTTTTGATAGTTGGTTGCGATAGTTGGAATGCAGCCGTCGTCTGGAGGAAGATTCTAGCAGACGACTGCTCTCGGTAGTTTAGCGTACTTAATCCGATCAATACCAGGCGAATGCTGGAATAGTACCCAAACAAACGGGTCACGGACCTCGTGCGATTTCTTCCTTTCTGTTCCTTTTTCTATCCTCCTCCTTGTTTATACACACTTTTCACTTATATATACCACACTACCACACAGGTCGGAAGACCAGCTGTGAGCTCAGAGCTGGTCCCGGTTCGATTTGAGAAAGAGTGTATCGCTGCCGTCGGATCTCATGTTACGGTGCGGAAGGAATCATTCCAATTGTTGGTTTACGCTCGTTATATGCTCTTCGTCTGAAACTTCTTTCTCTTTCTACATGTATATGTTTTTATTTCTTTTCCTTTTGCTTGCGTTTTCCCTTTATTCTTATTGCTCTCTTCCTGTCACCCTTTCCGCCCGCTTTCTTACACTCGCACCTCTCTGCTTCCTTTTCAGTCTGTTGCTTTCAGATTACTTTCT